TTCGCAACTCGATGGCCTGGTTGAACTAGTTACCAGCTGGTTGCACCAGCTGGTTGCTAGTTGCCCTCGGCCCGAAGCCCAAAACCAAGACGTTCAAAATCGACAACGTTGTAAGGGTGGGTTTGGGGCCTCCTCCTTGGACTACGGGCTGCGAGACAAAGGGATGTGTAGGGTTTAGACGGTTTTAAAGGGGGTGTGGAGGGATGGATATAATCTCTAGGGATGCTTGAGGGGGGGTCAGGAGCCTTCTGCACCTCGTCGTAGCGGCCCGACAAAGTCAGGGAGAGGCCGATGATGAGGCGGCCTACCGCGGCGAGAGGAGGGGGGAGGAGGGAGGAGGGCTCCTGAAGCTCAAAGGCTTCGAGCTTCGGGGTTTTGGGGGGGGCGTTTAGAATCCTCAGGGTTGAAAGATGTTGAGGGGTTTAGCTTAGGTTGAGGGGCCCAAAGCCCTCCTCCAAAGTGTCCTAAACAAACGACACACATTCCTACCCCTCTCAACTCGCAACCCCTCTAGAGTCTCTACATCACTCAACACAATCCCCCCCCCCGAGGACTTAACGAAAGCCGAACCTGTTGCCACCGGCAGCGCCAGGAAAAGAAGCAAGAGACGCGCTGCATCCATGGGGTCCACTGGGAGGGATCCCGTCTTAGGATCCCCCCTAAAGCAGGCCTGTTATTCCGTCAGACATCCTCAGACCTCTGTTGAAGCCTAGTCTGTAGCTTTGCAAGAGGGGTGCCCGGACGGGCTCTGCCCGGCATCGGCTTGCACGGCATCGCGGCTTTTGGGGATCTCGATCGTTGGTTTCTGTATTCCGGCGATGGAAACTTCGGGAAGCGCAAGGTTGGCTTTGGGAAGCCTTAGGTTTGCTGAGGCCGAAACACTTTCCGTGTTGGTTTTACGTTGTGCTGCGCTGCAAGCCATACGGCCCCGATCTCCTGGTCACACATATTAGGGCTGAGGGTTGACAAGACACGAAGGCACTGAAACCTGAGCCCCTACAACCTAGGCCTATGTGTCTCATGTGACCCTAACACATCTCACCCCCTCCACGTAACTAATGCAAGTGCTGCCTGCAAAATTCAACGCAAGCCCCGCAAATGACATCGGATCATCTGAAGGCCCACGTCGTCTCAATCTGTTGCAGCGTGTGGTAAGCATGCTGGGTTTCCAAGAGCCACAGAGAGAGAGAGAGAGAGAGAGAGAGAGAGAGAGAGAGTTTTTTCAATTTCCCATGACTAAGCCCGACACCGTAAACAGTTGAACCCTCAAGTTATAAGCCCTGAATTGAACCCTTGTTGCCTCGGACGCTTTTCTTCCGGAAAGACTGCAGATGCTGCCGATCCACGCTCGCCATTAGCCTTTCATGTTCATGGCACTGGAGGTGCCAAGCTTCGGGACCAGGGAGGACTTGCAAGCTAGCGCTCTGGAGGTTTTTTGGGGTCTTTTGGAGGTGTGCTCAAGGTGTTCGGGCTTGCTTGAGGTATGGATATGGATGAAATAAAGGCATTGGCCTTTGGATCACTTCTTCATGGCATCAGTGTCGACAGGAGGTCTGGGTAATAAAATCTAATCCCCAACCCCTGAATCCTGAAACCCCTAGTCAAGTTGCCTGAGGCCTTGCACAAGCTGCCCCAGAACCTCCAAACCTGCCAAAGGTTCCGTGCAGTTTTAGGACTGAGCTTCTTGTTGGGGTATAAGCTCAGGGCAAGAAAGTTTGACAGTTCCAGGGCGCGTCGCAACTGAATTTGGCGGAAGCATTGGCTCACTACGCCACGGATAGGCTTGTGGACTAGCCAACGGCATACGACCCATGACTCGCCATGCTCAGGACGGTCGACTCGCCGTGGGCCCTTGCAGCACTGTCCTGGGCAGTTGGAGCCCCACCCCCCCACACCCAACCCGAAATCCCCAATCCGAGAGTCTGATTCAATAAACCCTTTGAATTAAAAATTTGTGTTGTCAGGAACCCTCCGGGATTCCGTTACGGGAGCCAAAGCCCCAAACTGCACCAACACAAACCCTAAGGCCCTAAGACTTACAGAAACAAAGTTGGCGGCCCCAAACTACCCCCCTATACGGGGCCGGAATTCAGGGCCGGACCCTGGAAACAATAAACCTTCCGAGAATTAGAGAAACCTCCTCCCCCCCAATATATATATATATATATATATGTATATATATATGTATATATATATGCTACCCCCCCCCCAGCGACCTACCCTTTTTAGGCCTTTTTAGGCCTTTTTTAACAAAAAATAACAAAGAAGGCCCAAAAGTCGCGTAGTTAATCACCGGGTAATGAAGGACAGTTACTGGGACACCCACCTCACAGACCCCGATAAGCTAGCATTGGAAGAATCTACATTTTGAATCTGAAGCGGACAATGCTGTTTTTAGATGTTTAGATCAGTGTTTTTCTATGCAAATTGTGCGTTTCAAGGGCAATTAATGTTTTGTTGAGCAACTAATTTATTTATACAATTGTGTTTGTACGAGGCAAAGTATTAATCAAATAGTGAAACATTTTTCTTGGTTCTATGCGAATTTAGCTACTAGAGTAATTATTAAGCAAAGAGCCCAATTTGACTCAAGTGAATACTATTTAAAGGAGCATACTCAACCAAGATACGAAATAAACACCATTTTCAACCAAAAAATGGCAAAGTGTGCGTTTAAAGTGTAAATACTGTATTTATACAATTGTGTTTGTACTAGGCAAAGTATGCTCTCTGAAAAGTCCACTGAAATACCTTATGTTTACATATTCATGAATCGTTTTTCTTTTTGAAATAGTCATTTTATGCGAATTTAGTTACTAGAGTAATTATTAAGCAAATAGCCCAATTTGACTCAAGTGAATACCATTTAAAAGACCATACTCAACCAAAATACGAAAGAAGCACCATATTCAACCAAAATATGGCAAAGTGTGGTTTAAAGGGCAAATAGTGCTTTGTTGAGCAACTAATGCATTGAAACAGTTGTGTTTATACCAGGCAAAGTATTATTGAAGTACTATCTGCAAAGTCAAATGAAACACCTTATGTTTACATATTCATGAAACAATTTTTTTGAAGTATTCATTCTATGCGAATTTAACTGCTAGAGGAATTCTTAAGCAAATCGCCCAATTTGACTCAAGTGAATACTATTTAAAGGACCATACTCAACCAAATACGAAATAAACACTTGCGGAAATGGAAACGGTTCTACCTACATAACAATGAGACAAAGATTGCTGAAGTATTCACTAAAGACCACTTATATACTATGTCTGAAAAGCACAATTTGCATGAGCAAGCTTAAAGATGCACAATAATGGAAATAGAAGCGGTTCTACTTACATAACGATGAAACAAAGATGTCTGAAGTATTCAATAAAGACCACATATATACTATGCTTGAAAACGCAACTTGCACAATCAGGCTTAAAAAATGCACAAGAATCCTAGAAAAGTACTTAGTGAAGGCCATACACAAGCAAATTCACAAATACATAAAAACATCCAAAAGCGCAAGCTTTTCAGGAGAATCTCTGGTAAAGTTTGGATTATAGGGTTTTGGTGTATTCCTGGACGAGTAGGAGTCACTTTTTAAGCAAACAATTCTAAGCAATAAATGCTTTTTCTCAAGACAAGTATTGCAAATGCTGCTTCTAGATAATTAATCACATTTACGAGGCAAATATTATCCATGCGAATTGAGCTACCAGAGCACCAAGTAATGGCTGAATAAGGCCTAACACACTTGAGTACAACCAAAAGATGCACTAAACACTAGCGGCTCTACTTACATAATAACGAAACAAATAGTTCTGAAGCACCAGAAAGACCACTTGTATACTATTTCTGAAAAGCACAGTTAGCATTAGCACACTTAAAAATGAGTAGTTGTTGCCTCGTGACCGTGAAGGCGAACCAAAAAGCCAAAATACCAAAACCAAAAAACCAAAAATACCAAAACCAAAAAAAACCAAAAAAAACCAAAACCAAAAAAACCAAAAATACCAAAAAAACCAATTTTCCGGGACTCTTGGAGAAGCCTCATAGGGATGTCCTGAGAGTTCCGGAAAATTGGTTTTTTTGGTATTTTTGGTTTTTTTGGTTTTGGTTTTTTTGGTTTTTTTGGTTTTGGTTTTTTTTGGTTTTTTTGGTTTTGGTTTTTTGGTTTTTTGGTTTTGGTATTTTTGGTTTTTCTACTGTCCCGTGTATGCGATTTTAGTTGTATTTTAGTCTACGCCCTAGGAAATACGCTATATTGCACACCGAGTTTGCTTGCAGTGCAGCTGGGTGACTTGAGACAAGGCGAAAAAGGGTAGGTCACTGGGGGGGGGGGGGGGTACCATATATATATATGTATATATATATATATGTATATATATATATGTGTGTATATATATATGTATATATATATAGCCAACAGAGCCTCCTATGATCCACAGAGCCTTTGTTCAAATTATCGCTGCCTGGCTTGATGCAGTTGCAGTAGATATTTTTCATCGAAGGCTTCTTGACTGGCTTCTTGGTCTTTGCAGCAGGCCTACGAAGAACAGTACCTGGCCGCACCACGCTCTTACCCTTGCCATATATAATGGATGGGTGTGACGCAGTACGAACTGCAGGTGTACGTGGAAACCAAAATTTCCCTGCTAATCTTTCAGACAGCATCAGGTCGAAATGTCTGTATCGGGTACCAGCGCACGTAGCTGCAAAAGCTTGACGCAAGCCGTCCTTGCGGAAGAAAATGGCTTGGGACCCTTCGAGCGCTTGCTCGATGCCGTAATACCACTCAACTTTGGTTCCCTTTGACCAGATATTTCTGTATCCGGGCCAGCCGATGTTGCTCCATTTTGGTAGTGATGACATCAGGCCCTGAACTTGAGCAGCAGTTTGCTGAAACCGTGCGTCTGCTTCTAAAAACCAAACCCATCCGACTTCAGAATGTCGTTGGTCAGACCGATAGCGTTGTAGTAATTGATAGCATCTCAGGGTCAAAATGCTTATCCAAATTCGTTTGTAGGATATAAACGAACGAAAGTACTATAAAACAAAACAAGTATACAAAAAAAAAACAAACTTACTTGAAACTGCTTGCGCAGCCTCGTAAACCATCGGTGCCGTACAGAGTAATGCACGATCTCATTGGGCTGCAGCTTCTTGCCCATGTGCTCGTCAGTGCCATATCGATATCCATAAATAACATGGACGTTGTTAGCGCCCATACCTTTTAATTCTTGGAGAAGTGGGTTATGCACGCCATGGTTGTCGGCATGCGACAATATGAGGAAGAGTGCGTTGCCAAGCTTGGCCGGTGTCTCAGGCAATACGAGCTTGGCTTCATCGACGTGCTTCGCTTTGCAACGTTCCAGCGTCTTTCGTTTAGACTCATCAGTACTGCACCACCAGGACAAATTGCAGGAACATTTGTGCCATGCCATCTCAGATAGCCTCTATACCTAAAATTGTTGTAAGCACAAGACATCTTTTTATAATATGTTTTGACATTAACACGTAACGTGACCTATGAATGAATCTCGCTCAACAAACTTCATTTGTTTATACAGTGACAGTATACATGAATGTTGTCCTTTACTTCTATGCATGTAGTACGAACACATGGATTTCATCATTCTGCGCCAGGTAGCAGCATAAACGTGTTTTCAAATTTGTTTATAAGCTTCACGATCATGAACTACGACAACTGTCCGCATGTGTTGTAGAGTATACAGGTACAGTTGGGAGTATGTTTTTGCCGTTTGTGGTTTTTTGAGCGACCCTAAGCCCTATTTTCAAGTTGAAGCACTCATTTCCGAAACTTGCGGTGTTGAGTGAAGTAAGCATGATTGTGTTGGGCGCACGTGTTTTGTATATTGCACAGGTACAATTGGGAGCATGTTTTTGCCGTTTGGTGTCTTTTGAGCGACCCTAAACCCTAAATTTCAAGTTGAAGCACTCATTTCCGAAACTTGCGGTACTGAGCGAATTAAATATGATTGTATTTGGCGCGCATGGTTTGTTTAGTGTACAGGCACACTTGGAAGCATGTTTTTGAACGCTTGAGGTCTGTTGAGCGACCCTAAACCCTAGATTTCAAGTTGAAGCACTCATTTCCGAAACTTGCGGTGTTGAATGAAGTAAACATGATTGTGTTTGGCGCGCACGTTTTGCACAGTGTACAGGTACAATTGGGCCATGTTTTTGCCGTTTGAGGTCTTTTGAGCGACCCTAAACCCTAAATTTCAAGTTGAAGCACTCATTTCCGAAACTTGCGGTGTTGAATGAAGTAAACATGATTGTATTTGGCGCGCATGTTTTGTATAAGTACAGGCACACTTGTAAGCGTGTTTTTGCCGCTTGAGGTCTTTTGAGCGACCCTAAATCCTAAATTTCGCGTTGAAGCACTCATTTCCGAAACTTGCGGTGTTGAATGAAGTAAACATGATTGTATTTGCCGCGCATATTTTGTGTAGTGTACAGGTACAATTGAGAGTACATTTTTGCCGTCTGGGGTCTTTTGAGCGACCCTAAACCCTAAATTTCAAGTTGACACACTGATTTCCGAACCTTGCGGCGCTGCATGAACTGAACGATTTTTGTTTGGCCCGCATGATTTGTACAGCGTACAGGTACAATTGGGAGCATGGTTTTGCTGCTTGGGTCTTTTAAGCAACCCTAAACCCTAACTTTCAAGTTGAAAGACTGATTTCCGAAATTTGCGGGTGCTGAATGAGCTTGAATGCAGTGTTCGAGATTTCCAGATATATCAAGAAATTATAAATCTCATCTGACATATCGTAAAAATTACTACCGTCACAAACATTACCGAAACAAATCGTACAAATCAAGGCGGCTAGCTTGGGTTACAACTTTGCTGAAACCTTGATTACTAGTTATTGCGGTCACTGTCAACTTTAGCCAGCAGACACAGACACACAATGCCGGAACAAATCGTACAAGTCACTGTCGTCCACAAACAGTGCCGGAACAAAATGCCGGAACAAATCGTACAAGTCACTGCCGTCCACAAATATTGCCGGAACAAATCGTACAAATCCCTGCTGCCTTCACTAGCAATATCACCTGAACAACTTGTACAATCTCTGCTGCCCACGCACGCTCTACAAGCCACTTCCAAGGAAGCAGTTTGCAGCCCCCTAAGCCCTTCTATAAGGTTGCAGGTTCCCGGTCAACCTTCCCTGCAAATCTTTTTGGCAACAGCTGGGAGGGCCTCCAAGGAAGCAGTTTGCAGCTTCTGCAGCTCCCTAAACCCTTCTTTATGTCGGCAGGTTCCCTTACACTCGGTTATGCTTCTCCTGCAAGGAATTTCCAGGAAGAACTTTGCAGCTCCTAAAACCATTCCGCACGTCTGCAGGGTCCCCTGCAGATATGCCTGCAGGCTCCAAAAGCGGCTCTGTTTCCCCAAATTTGTACCCCTCAACCCTCAACCCTCAACCCTCAACCCTCAACCCTCAACCCTCAACCCTCAACCCTCAACCCGCAACCCTCAACCCTCAACCCTCAACCCTCAACCCTCAACCCTCAACCCTAAACCCTACCCTTGGAGATGTAGTCTTGGGGCTTCTGCTTAGTGCCACGATAAGGAAGCAGCTGCAGCGAGCGGCAAAGATCCGTGCGGCAGCGGCTCCGACGCATTCATAGGCTCAGCCGCTCGAAATTTCGACTGCAGTATGCCCTGAAGTCTAAGCCCTAAACCCTAGACCCTAAACCCTAAACCCTAAGCCCTAAACCCTAAACCCTAAACCCTAAACCCTAAACCCTACACGTTTAGATCCTAAGCCTCTGCAGGTGGTTGTTGGGAAAGTAAGAGAAAACGCAGTGGAGAGTCCAGCAGAGCCAATTGCCCCTTCAACGCTGGCTCCATGTTACTGGTACCAAAATCCTAAACTGGTGGGAGCCCAAGCATCGAAAATCTAGGGTTAGGGTTTAGGGTGTAGGGTTTAGGGCATAGGGTTTAGGGTTAGGGTCGGGGTTTGGTTGGGGCCCCTCTTCCTGTTTGTGGTTCCTCACAAGCCTCCTTGAGCAAAAAGGGGGTACCCTCTTTGTATTCCAGAGCCGCAGTGCATGAAGTCCTCATGGTCCAGACCGTCGACCTCTCGTTCAAACCTCCCTTATCCCTACATATACAAAGGAACAAATCGTATAAATCCCTGCTGCCAGCATTTGACAGGTGTGCTTCCGTCATTGCCCCAGAGTTCGCGCATTCTCTCCGCTGTAGGAACGGAGGTTACGGCACATGTAGGCTGACAGAACTTGTACGTTGCAGCAACGATACATGCACTCTTGTGAAACCGCCGGGTCAAGCAAGATCTTTCTTTTGGCACGTTTCGCCTGAGCTTTCTCCCCAACTCCCCAAACACGTATTGAAAGAGTATGGTCAGCGCGACCATGGCATAGCCTATCTTTCTGCATAATGATAGGCCGGCGCCTCACCCACAGACCCAGTACACATCCCTACTCAGACTCAGACTGACCATAGTACAGCTGTTTCGCGTACTGAAACTGGCCAGATCGTCTGACGATGACGAAGAAAATGGATGTGGCCGCACGCACAAATGTTTAAACACATGAACTCACTGCACATCTGTCGAACCTGATCCAAGAGCTTGCGCTCTTGTTCACTACGGCTCTTCAAATCTTCGAAGTTCTCGTCATGCCGAAGGTCCTCGAACTCAAAATCATCATCGTCCGAGTCGCTTAGAATCAAAATGGGAGACTGCAAGACTAGCTCGACACAAGTCGTAGCCGTGGGCAGTACAGATGGAAACAAGAACTCAAGCACTTGCGCCGAGCAGGAAGATGGTAGTGAAAGATAAGGCACTGTCATCCAGACTTTGATGTCCTGGCGCTGCGCGTCATGAAGTTCGATTTCTTGTAGCAGAACTCGGAGCCATGCTAAGGTCTCTTGGCGAGTTTGTTGAATGGCCAGCAACGGTTGCGCGAAGTAGTTGCGCTCAGCAGCACGGATGCTAATGGGAAGCATGTTCCACACGAGCTGGGCTTCTTGCGCTATCAGGGCAGGAACATCAACGGGTCGGCTCCAAAACATATGAGCGTACATCTGCATGGCAGCTGCCGCAAGGAGAACAATCTACTACAGCAGCAAACACTAAAATAGTGTTTGGGACATGTGCGGCTTTGGCGAATTGACGGAGAAAGTCTTGAAATCGCAACTTCAAGAGGTCAGCAGGCATGAAGACTGCAACAAGCAGCCATGCAGAAAGCTCTTTTTCGGCTTTCTGGGTACTGCGGTACAGAGTTCTCGCAAGCAGCATCGAACGACTGTACAGTTGAACTTGCTTGCCAAACTAACAAAATGTGGTAATCATCAGCCAGTTGCGAAGCTCAGCTTTTCATGGCTGGAACCAGGTGCAACAGAGTGTATATACAGACAGAAACTGCACGCTGCATGAGCAATCTCGAACAGCTGTACGACGCCGAGCTTGCTCAGTCATGGCTTCAGAGCCTGCGTGCCTCGCACGCAGCTCGAACAATGTCGCCAACAGCAGCGAACTTGTCCTGCTCGGCATGCCAATGATGCCATTGAAATTCACGCACCCGCTCATCAATGTTCCCTTCATCCGCTTTCGTTGACTTCGGAACCCCGATCAACTTCAATTGCCGCCACACATTGTCTATGAGTTGGGTTCCCTTTTTCACCCATACCGTGTTCGTTTGGTCTTTGGGCAAACCCTTGACATGTGCTTTCCTGTAATCTCGAGGAAGGCGGTGTTTCCATGTAGCGGCATAGATGGGGTTCGGACGCTTGTGTCTCACCGAATCGGTGATCACGCCAGGTATCTGCACGTACCTGTACGCTCGTGCACCGTCACAGTGCAGCAGGATTTTCCGATTCTTGAGATAACGGAACCCTATTTGCTTCCATTCTTTTTTGGATATGGGTCCCGGAGACACAGCAGAGCCCTTGCCCTTCCCCTTCAGCTTGACAGACGTTGACTTCACTCGCATTTTGACAAGGGTGAGGCTCTTACGGTTGCCGCGCTCGAGCAGACCACAATACTGGAACCAGGTCACTTGTTTGCCTGATTTCTTTCCACGAACTGTGACCTCGTCGACTTCAGCTTGAACCCAAGTTCGAAGATTGCCGAAGAGCCGAGCTTCTTGTTGTCGTTGAACATAAGCCATTACAGCTCTTCTCCATCTGGCAGACAGAGTTTGCACCGCCCTTGCTCCAAGGCCCGTCAGCACATGAATCTTGCCAGTGTCCACTCTAGTCACATTGCAGAAAAGAACCAGGACCTGTTGACGCAAAGAAATGAATGACTGGCCCCATCCAGTACAGAAGAATGGATGCCGTGCATGTGGAAGCACGTACTTGTGACACGTCTTCGCTTGACATCTTCTCACAAATCCTCGCTTCTTGTGCTTGAACAAGCCTGACAACTTCCCTGTTCTGCAATGTGGACAGCGTGTGAAGTTCCACAAGATTCCCAGCTTTAAGAGCAATTTGATGAGCCTGTTCTCGGACATCTGCACCAAGTCCGTTAGAGAGCAACACCAGTGTTGGGATCGTAGCTCCGCCTTCTTCGCATTATCGAGCTGCTGATCTCGTGGCACGTAGGGAACGTGATCTGGCTTTGTGGACTGCGATTTCTGAGAAGGCTTTCGAAGCACCAGTCGCAACATCCCATGCTTAGGGCTCGGAAACTGCTTCATATCGCTCGTCTCAGAAATGTAGAGCTGCGTCCGAAAGCGACAAAGGGCTACTATCGAAATGGCTGCGGCAGCAGTGCTGGATGAAATCGATTTCGTGCGTTGAGTACCACAGCGACATCGGTGTCGAGCCCGCGCAACTTCGACAAGACTCTTTTGCATCAGTGCACGGTGCGTACACGCCGGAAGCAGTCTGTACAATATTCCGGCCAGAGCCTGTCCTAGCACTGCTTTCGATGGACGGAAATAGGACATTCTTGAAGCGCAGGGGTTATCGGCCTGCAACACGACAGCTCCTGCTCGCTCGTTGCCAAGAAGCCGTGAGCGGATGTGTATCGAAAACTCCAACTGTACATCAAACATATAAGCGAAACTAGACATAGCGCATGGCAAAGACTCATTCTGCACGACAGCCAAGCTAGCGCTTACATCGCAATCAAGCTGTACACCGTAGAAGGTTATAGAGTCAGAGAGTTTGTCACTCTGCAATATGACAGCCTCTGCTGGCTCTGCACGACTCAGAAATCATGACTGATTGGCTGGCTTGCTCTTGACCCTGACACGTTTACTGGTCGAGTTGGTGAGGGCAGATTTCAGAGCGGCGCTCGATATGTTCGCGTATTGCATCAGGGCTGCCTCATATTCAGGCGGTGAAGCTGAAGAGGGACAAGTGAAGTTGTAGCTATCTGTGGCCGCATCGAAACTACCCAGAATTGACGGAGCAGCTTTGACAACAGCGCGAAAGTCCCCAAGAGAAGGCTGTTGCGTGAGCTGGTCCTTCGACCTCTGAAGGTTGTACACGCTTCGTGACTTGATGACACAGGTTTCTGCCCCCTCTGACGAAGCTTCCGCCTTGAGGAGCAACCGACGAAAGAATTCAGTGTCAGGCAGTCCGGTGTGCTGTGCTTTCGGCTGCCAATCTTGATCTTTGTTCGAACTCTGTCCCGTCAAAGCAAGAGCAAGCTGATCCTCGTCAGCCATAGGCCTTTTCCGCTTTTTCTCCGCTGAGTCGGCTTCGTTGAGCGTTGAGAAAGCAGACGACTCTTCCTTACCAGCCATGATCGCCACCACGCTCTCTAGGATCTCCAGCAGTCCAAAAGCACGTGCAACCACATCCGCATTGATCAGGACCGGCGCCTCTGGATTTTCCGGCGGCGCCGACTGCTGCCAGGCAAGATCCCAGAGCGCCAAAGCCTCACTGGCCCAAAACCCAAGGAAATCAAAGTCGAAACTTTCAGAATCGACTACCTTATAAGAGCACCAAAGATTGAAAAGTTTAGTTTGCAGTTAACAAGAAGCCGAAGCAAGCATGGCAAGTTTCCACGGACACGCGCCCATCTGGGCACCCTGACCCACGTCACCATCTTCTCGAGATTGAGCCACCATAATATTAAAATAACACGCGTAACTTTTGAAAAGTTGCTTGCCGCTCGCTGAGAACTCAAGAACGCGGTGCTCCTGCTCAAAGATCTCAGTGAGACGCTGCGCTGCCGGGCGTAATTCAAGCTCTGGAGGAACGTCTACATCTCTGTCTGCCATGGACCACTCTGGCTGAGGACCGTCTGGAGTCTGGCGAAAGCGAAGTTTAGTGACAACGCCGTCTGGCAAGGTGTAAGGCCAGCCCACTGCATCGGGAAAGAAACCTGCGTCCGTGAACTCAGCAACACCGTCGACGAGGTCGTCCTCGTGCTTCAGTTCCACTGCTGCCTTCTCAGGACTCTCCAAGCAGTTCAGCCGCAACAAATCAAGCAACACCCTGGGGAGTGCGCAGTACTCCACTTTGGCATCCAAGCCGACAGACTCGTACTCCTCATGCGGTTGGATGGGCTGCCCACTGGCAAACAGGAAGCGAGCTTTTGTTTGGCATCCGTGGTCGCCCCGAAGCCCGCGAATCATCTCCACCGCGACGCCGGGATGAAAATTGCCGGCTAGGGCTGTGTTGACGCTTGGAGAGCGCAAGCCGCCGAACGATCCACAGCTCTTCGTTTCGAAGGTGCTCACGCCCGTTTGCAGCAACCTGTTAGCCCACCCAGCATTTGGAGTTTGACCAGAAACATCAACGCCTCCAGACATCTGTTTCTTTGCGGCGGAACCTGGACTGTCCAAGATGCCGAGTTCCATCAGAAACTCATACGCTTCGTCAAAGAGCAACAGCGTAGAAAACCAGGTACGCCCTCGCAAGCCTTCCCCACTTGCAACGGCGGCTTCGGCTGCAGAAGCAGTAGCGGACGCATCAATGCCTGGCAAATCCTTGAAGGCTTTAGGATTGTTCTGCACAAAGTTGAAGTCACCACTGCAGCGCTCCTTGCAGCGCTCAATGGTGCCGCCAAGATATGCCACTGGCCATAGACTTAGTCGAGCATGTCTGTCACCCTGTGCCTCGGCTGGAGCAGCCAGGTCTTGCATCAGCGTGTCTTCGTGCCTGCCGTCTTCTTGTACTGTGGTAGTCTTCACCTTGGCCTCCGCACTCTTGTCCTGGAGAAGTCGGCGAAAAGTCTTGCGGACGTGTTGGTCTGCTACAGACGCGAACACCTCCGCAATGGATGCGAGGCCACTTTTGCGCGTCTGACTGTAATTGATGTTGAGAATCCACAAGGCGACCGGTGAGAGCCCGCCCCAAATTCGAAGCAAAGCTCCGTTCGAGGCTACCACGACACCAACCAGCGCGTAGAGAAAGATTGGCAGAGCTGGATGGCTTTTGCGAACAGACTGAAGATGAATAGCAGCGTGTCCACGTTCCCCCAAGATCCGCTTTCCACTGGCAGCCCACTCCTTCTGCACATAGGTGTAGACGTTCGTCATCGTGGAAATGTACTGCTTAGGAGGGCTCGACATGATGGCGAGAGTCCGTTCAAAAACTAGAACAGAAATTCTAAATTCAAACAACCCTGCCTGAACCCTAAACCTAACCCTAAACTTAATTCAAATTTAAGGTTTAGGGGCTCAGGGTCTAAGAACCGTCCACGCACCTGCTTGTTGAGATTTAGGGTGCGACATTTGCCCCCGTGCCCGCGAAACGTTTGCAGGACTGGCAGCCGGTCTTCCCTGTCAAGGCTGGAGCCAGAGTCATTCAAGGATTTGCGGCAGTCCAGGGTTTCTGAGGTTCGCAAGCGGCCTGGTTCGTGGGCCTCGGAGGGAGAGAAGGTGCAGCCGGCACTTTCAATGCTCCAGGGTTCAGGGGGTTTCAAGGCAGGACAAAGTTTAGGGTTTACGGTCTAGGGTTTAGGGTTTAGGGTTTAGGGTTCCGGGTTTAGGGTTTAGGGTTTAGGGTTTTTTCGCCAGCCGACCCAGACACACAATGCCGGAACAAATCGTACAAGTCGCTGCCGTCCACATGCATTGCCGGAACAAATCGCACAAATCAAGATGGCTAGCTTGAGTTGCAACAGTGTTGAAATCTTGATTACTGGTTTTTGCAGTCATGGTCAACTTTAGCCAGCCGACCCAGACGCACAACGCCGGAACAAATCGTACAAGTCGCTGCCGTCCACAAGCATTGCGGGAACAGATCGTACAAATCAAGATGGCTAGCTAGAGTGACAACATTGTTGAAATCTTGATTACTGGATACTGCAGTCCTTCTCAACTTTAGCCGGCCGACCCAGACGCACAATGCCGGAACAAATCGTACAAGTCGCTGCCGCCCACAAACATTGCCGGAACAAATCGTACAAATGAATGCTGCCCACGCACACTGCCGGAAGCAGTTTAGAATCTAGGTTTAAGGTTTAGGGACTCTAATTGTCAGCGTGACCAAGGCCTAGTCTATGGCTTCGTAGGGTCGCGGGAGGTGCTCTCGCCACATGCTCCTCCCCACCCTCTCTGCTTTGGGCACCGCCCCGCCTCAAAGCAGCTCGCAACTGCTTTTCTTGTGTAGTTTCGTAGGGTCGCGGGAGGTGCCCTCACCACATGCCCCTCCCCACCCTCTCTGCTTTGGGCTCCGCCCCGCCTCAAAGCAGCTCGGACTCTGCCAGGCAGAGGTCTGTGTTTTAGGGTTTAGGGTTTAGGGTTTAGGGTTTAGGGTTTAGGGTTTAGGGTTTAGGGTTTAGGGTTTAGGGTTGCAAGAAAAAAGGCCGACTTTCCATGTTGCTTGTAGGGAAAGCCGGCCACTGCATCTGAGGTCGGAACCTGAGCAGAAAATATAATATTATATCTGTATATATATATAATATTGTATATATTAAACAGTATTATAAATACTATATTTAGTTTACATTTATTTTATATATTATATTATATATATTGAATATTATACATATAATATAATATAATATTATATTATATTATATATATATATACATATTTATTTATATATATAATATTATATATTGAATATTATATATTATGTTATATGATTATGTTATATAGAGTATATAAAATATATTTAATATATATCTTATTATATTTACATTAATATATATATATATATATACATATATATATGTATTTGATTATATATATTATAATATATATATATATATATTATTATTTTATTATCTATATTATATAAATATATTAATTATATTATATATTTATATATATTATATATATTATATATATTATATATATTATATATATTATATATATTATATATATTATATATATTATATATATATTGTATATATTGTATATATTATATTATATATATATATATATGTATATATATTATATATATATATATTATTATGTATATTATATATATTATATATTATATATGTATACTAATATTATACATAAAACTTATAAATGCAACATTAAACATTACTACGATGTGGTAACAGGGCCTTCTTATGCAAGTAACAGAAATGTCAATGTTCGTGGCATTACAGACCTGACGGACTATTCAAACTCTCCAGAGACATTTCAAAATCTTTACACTTTTCAAACTTTTCAGATATTCCAGAAATTCCAAGCTTTTCAAACATTCCAGACATACCAGACTTTTCAGACATTTCAGATATTCCAGACATTTCAGACTTTTCAGATGTTTCAGACATTCCAGACATTTCAGACTTTTCAGACATTTCAGACTTTTCAAACTTTTCAGATATTCCAGACATTCCAAGCTTTTCAAACATTCCAGACATACCAGACTTTTCAGACATTTCAGATATTCCAGGCATTTCAGACTTTTCAGATGTTTCAGACATTTCAGACGTTTCAGACTTTTCAGACATTTCAGACTTTTCAAACTTTTCAGATATTCCAGACATTCCAAGCTTTTCAAACATTCCAGACATACCAGACTTTTCAGACATTTCAGATATTCCAGGCATTTCAGACTTTTCAGATGTTTCAGACATTTCAGACGTTTCAGACTTTTCAGATATTTCAGACATTTCAGACATGTCATTTTTTCAGATATGTGCCTGTAAATTTTTAAGATGTTTGGAAAGGCTAGGCTGTCTAGAATGTCTGGAACGTTTGGAAAGTCTGGAAAGTATGGAATGTCTGAAATATCTGAAAAGTCTGGTATGTCTGGAATGTTTGAAAAGCTTGGAATGTCTGGAATATCTGAAAAGTTTGAAAAGTCTGAAATGTCTGAAAAGTCTGAAACGTCTGAAATGTCTGAAACATCTGAAAAGTCTGAAATGCCTGGAATATCTGAAATGTCTGAAAAGTCTGGTATGTCTGGAATGTTTGAAAAGCTTGGAATGTCTGGAATATCTGAAAAGTTTGAAAAGTCTGAAATGTCTGAAAAGTCTGAAATGTCTGGAATGTCTGAAACATCTGAAAAGTCTGAAATGTCTGGAATATCTGAAATGTCTGAAAAGTTTGAAATGTCTGGAATGTCTGAAATATCTGAAAAGTTTGCAATGTCTGGAATGTCTGAAAAGTTTGGGTCTTTTGGGATCTCTGGAAAGTAAGGAATGTTGGAAGCGTCTGGAATGTCTGAAAAGTTTGGAATGTCTGAAAAGTTTGGAAATTTTGGAATGTATGGCATGTCTGAAAAGTCTGAAAAGTTTGGAACGTCTGGAACGTTCCAAACGTTTGGAATGTCTTAATATTTTGAAAAGCTTCGAATGTTTGAAATGTCTGAAACGTCTGGAATATCTGAAACATCTGAAAAGTCTGAAATGCCTGGAATATCTGAAATGTCTGAAAAGTCTGGTATGTCTGGAATGTTTGAAAAGCTTGGAATTTCTTGAATATCTGAAAAGTTTAAAAAGTCTGAAATGTCTGAAAAGTCTGAAATGTCTGGAATGTCTGAAACATCTGAAAAATCTGAAATATCTGGAATATCTGAAATGTCTGAAAAGTCTAGTATGTCTGGAAGGTTTGAAAAGCTTGGAATTTCTGGAATATCTGAAAAGTTCGAAAAGTCTGAAATGTCTGAAATGTCTGAAATATCTGAAAAGTTTGAAAAGTCTAAAATGTCTGAAATGTCTGAAAAATCTGAAATGTCTGGAATGTCTGAAATATCTGAAAAGTCTGGAATGTCGGAAACGCTTGGAATGTCTGACAAGTTTGGAAATTCTGGAACGCCTGGAAAGTCTGGAATGTTTGAAATGTCCGGAATGTCTGAAAAGTTGAGAATGTCTGGAACATCTGAAAGATCTGAGAGGTCTTGAATATACAGAGTGTCTGGAAGGGTTGGTATGCTAAGAATATATTCAAAACGAGCTAACATGATAAATGTTTAAAGTAATTTATGTTGTTAAACGAAAGCCTGGTGGATCACAGAAGGCCCTGTTGCCATATATATATATATATGTATATATATATATACATATATATATATACATATATACATATGTATATTATATTATATTATACTATATTATATTATATTGTATTCTATTATATTATATTATATGATATTATATTATATATATATATATATATATATATTATATTACATTACATATATATATATATAAACAAACCAGCCCAGGAAATCATGCGACCCCTTTCTTTCATTCCCGGCGGCGGGGCGCGGGCCCCCCCCCCCCAGTAAACAGATTGCCAGATTAAACACCATGTGTGCACTCTGACTCATCATATTTCCTCACGTTCGGATCAGTGTCTCACATCCACTCACAGCTGGCGCGGCTTCGGCTTGTGGAACGTTTACACTGCCTAGCTCTTCAACACATTCTCAAAACATTGATTACATGCCACTCTTCAACTATGCCGCCAACCCGGCCCAACCCTACAACCACTCGGAAATTCGACTGTCACTCGGGCCCCAGACGTGCACGGCATTATCGCTGGCGGCCTGGTCGACACAGCGATTGCTTCTTGCGCCTGTTTAGCGCTTAGGGAGCACTGGAGCTGATGGGTTTCATAGTTCGGGCTATCCCATTGGGGCTACCATGAAAGCTCGCGTCTGTCACGTCTGCGACCGCATCCGATAGCATCTTTTCTGCCATAGCAGCACAGCTATGTAGAAGTGCTTGATGCACTGATGTCTAGAATGATCGTCGCGGAGACGTTCGACAAACGGGCAGACAGGAACGGGAGTGCTATGCATTCCGGCAGTTTGACGTTTGAGCACTCTCTCCAACGCCTCGGAGAACCTCAACCTGCACCCTCCACAAAAGCTTTAAACAAGCTCCGAGCTCCCTGCCACATCTGTGTCGGGTACGCGACAGTTTGCGGCATGGCGATGTGCGTGGGCATGCCTGTCAAGGGCCATATTCAAGCCTTCGCGGGCTCTCGGGATCCTGGCGCTTGGTATTGAACATAAACCTCGTGTTTGACATCTAATACACAGATTGAGAAATAAACATATATATATATACATATATTGTAATGACAGCGTTCTTGCATTGTTGATCCGCATGCAGTGCCGGCCGCAT